TCTTTACGTATCTGATTGACGACTAGCCTTAATCGAAAGTTCTCTCTCGTTATCGGGAGGGGTAATTAACTATAGGAGCTAGGGCCTATAGGAAACCAGAACTCAGATCATAAAGTCCTCGCAAATGAGGGCGAAATCTCTGGGTAGTGTCTTATCTACAAACCCATCTGCCTTCCAAAATTTACCCCGGAACTTATTCCGTTAAAACTCCCTCGTCAAAGAAAAACAAACAGTCATGCGCGGCGGGGAGGCCGGGCCGAATTTTCGGAGCCCACAAATAGCTCACTTGAGAAAGACCTCTTCTATATCATCCTTGTTCATTGTCTTTGTGCCTATGCACGCAATGTGGTCCAAGTATTTTTGTGACATGAATATATGGGTTAATGAGGCAAAGCAACCGGAGATGATGAAGTGGGCAATGAGAGAAGCAATACATTTCATGTGATCGTGGAAGCAGACACGCTCGTGAGATGTTACAGGGCCGACATGTACATAAGCAGACTTAAGGCTTGATGATGGTAAAACTATTTTCTCTACGTACTTTTTTAAGTAAACAATAACATTAAATAAACCAACCCCACATAGTGGGATAAAGGGTTGATGATGTTGTTGTTGTTGTATTTTTTAAGTAAACAGTAATGTTATAGCTAATCTCCAAAAAATTGTTCACCTCTGTCCTATTTGTGCATCTTTTATCTAGATAAACACTTCTTCTTCTAATTCATCTCCATCATCGATCACTAAGGCACATGGTATTCTCTGTTTCTCACAAGATCTATTCACGTATGCAATCTACCTATGCTCTCCAATGGTGACCGTGCCCATGACTTTTGTCCTTATTACATCGACCTTTCCATCAACTCTCTCTATCAATACTACTCATCAAGGTTCTTTATCGATACCCCTAATTAATATTCTTCTATGTGACTTATATGACAATGATCTCATTGTTGACTTGTGTCTGATTACTATTCTCTTTCAAATATTGGCTGAACTCCTCAACGCAACCACATGTTCTAATTATTTAAAATAGGATTTGCACTGCTTATTATTATTTTATTTCATCATTATTGGGTAAATTCTTCTTTGTTTTTTTATTGTACTCTTCTCTTGCCTATATAGACACATATATACTTGTTCTATGATAATTCAATATAAATATAGTTTTTATAATTCTCTCTCCCTTCTAACAATTGCTGTTGATTACTGCATGAGCTGTAGACACGAGCTCAAGTGGCTTAGGTTCCAAATCTAAAAAACAATTTTGAAAATTCATCAATGGATGCAATTCTCAAGAAATATAATGTAATATATATGAACGGTTGAAAAACATCCAATAAGATTTCATAAACCATAAAAAATTCCTTACTTGCAAAATAGCAGGGCTATTTTGATCCTCAGCTGCAGCAACAACAGCTTCAACTCCTTCAATATTATAAACATTGAAAGCGCCAACAGCATACCCTCCCTTTTCAGCATTCTTCATGCAAAAAAACTTTCTAGTCATAAAATCAAAATTTTCTCCCACTCTAATCATTTTGATAGAGAACCTTACAAGAAGAAGATCCTTTGTAGAAGCTCTACGGTTGCAAGTCCATTTTTCGACAACTTCAGCAAGGGCATTATTGCCACCAACATTGCCTATAAGATGGAAGTTCAATTCCTAAATCTTGCTCAAAGCTGGCATTTTTCACATAAGAATAAACAAACTAAAAACTATATCACCTGGAAAAACAATATATGGAACTCCAGGATGTCTGCTTTCTTGACCAAGTTGCCATAAGGGTACACCAGCTAATGCTTGCCCAACCACAATGGCATGGCGAGCCTCTAAAGCTTTTGTTGCAAGATCAGATGAAGTGATTCCACCCTGCAAAGCCATATTTACAATCACAAAGTAAGGTGATGTAACAGTGCTATGCCGTCGAAATGATTATTAAACAGAAATATAGAAAATTAAGCAAATAATGATGGATGCAGTTTCCGCCTTCTGCAATTATACATAACTCTGATAATAGTAAAATTTATTAGTTATTATTCTTGCATAAAATGCATTTTTTTCTCAAGCTAAAAAGGAAATTCATGTTGTACCAAGTGATTGTTAGATCTTCAATACTATCAGCAGATTACTCAGAAAAAATGTGCACCAAAATTGCAGCTGAATACCATTTAGTTCCATTTCATCCCTCTCAAGGTTTCAGACTCTTTATACAAAGAAACTCGTATTACCTTTTACATATAACTATTCCTTTTAGGAATCAAAAGAATAAGGACAAACAAATGATGTTGAACCTACAACACTTAATTGCTATATAAACAACTTTGATAAATCAAATATATACTTTTTTAGGCTCATTAACATAAAACTCTTTTATAAGTTCACTCTCCACACCTTAAATAATTTTTCTTTCAATGGCATTTTGCTTCCTCCATCTATTTTCATGAAATGTTGAATTTCAATATCAGATACGTCACTGTGATTTCAATTTTTAATGTCGATCCCCAGCACTATGATTTCTTTTTCTTAATGTAGCACTTGAAAAAACTCATCTATTTCGAATATGTTATGATTAGGCCATCTATTTTCTGCTATTAGATAACATGACTGGTTTACCAGATATCAATGTTTGATAACTTATTATGGTCAATAGAATGCTGAAAATATATGGATAAAGTTCTATGGAATATCAAAATCTTTGCCAGTTACTGTATTAAAATCAACAAAATTATGGATAACATCATTGAACATGAATGTAAATCTTGATCTGCATTTTTATCCGCCATAAACTCCAACATTAACATTTCAAATCAGTTACTGGAAGGAATAAATTTCACTGGTTAGTACACTTGTTACTCCCTTTCCATATAATATATCGTGCTGACAAAAATAATTCAAACATTTAAGCGTAGTGCCGAATAAATGTCTTAAAGATAAAACACATTAATGAATTTACAAATACTTGATAAAATCCTGTTGGACTAAAAAAAATGTAATCAGTATTTCGTGGTTGCTTGACCTCTACTTTTAAAGAAGAACAAAATAATCTCATGAAACTTGATGGTACAGAAATCAAGGCATTACAATTAAAATAAAATCTATACAAAGTGGAAAATCTTTTGGGTAAAAACCTTGGCAATTATATAGCGAGGTTGGACTGTTATTCTTCTAACAATATCAACCAATGCAGAGCTGACTTTATAATTGATTGCTAAACTCTCAGAAGCAGCTGTAAAAGTAAAAGATAGTATGATCAAATCAATGCCGATTATATAAAACAAATCAATTGAAGTATTGGGAATGGGATGAACAGTATGGATTTATTCAATATAAGATGTTTCCAATTTCTGATGATATTTCAAACAGCATTTTTTTCATGATACTAATGTACATACGCTACTAAGTGTGATAAGAAATTTGAAATGTAGAATGTATTCTGCTAAACATGTTTAGGAGGAATTAGAAAAAATGTAGTGTTACATGCATAGGGGTTGAAAGAAAACTTGAATTATGGATGTTAACCTTAGAGTCTAAAGGTTTTGGTTTGAGTTTATCTAAAACCAACTACATGAAGTGTAATTTTAGTAGTAATAGAACTAATGGGGGAATTTTGTCTTTGAGCAATTAAGTCATTAAAAATAATATATGTATTAGATATCTCAGGCCTATTGTTCAAAGTGATGGTGAAATCGATGGGGATATTATCAGTATAATTCAAATTGGATGGTTGAAGTGGAGGAATGCATCAGGCCTGTTATGTGATAGAAAAGTACCCCTCAAACTTAAAGGAAAATTCTATAAGATGGTGGTGAGATTGTTTATCTCGATGATGTGATAGGTTGGCAAAATATATTGATATTGATGTATCTTATATATACAATTTAAATGGTGCTCGTGTGACTGTTTAATCACCATATATATTCTAAAAGATAAAATATATAATATAATACAAAGACATTAATCATTATGATTTTATTTTTGGTTGTTCATTTTTCTTATTAACATGACATGCAAACATAAGATGCTTATAAAGTAATGTTAGCATGCATGTTGTTTCTCTTCCTAGGATTAACAATAGACTAGGATTCTTATAAGATAATTTTATCCTGAGTGAGATTTTTCTTTTCTATATACAGAGAGCCTTATGTATTGATTTTTATTATTACGGATATGATCATTAATATTATTATGAATTCATTGAAGAATTTTTTGCGGCCCATGTTTTGGCCTCCTAGTTTATATATATATATATATATTGTTTTCTTCTAATTCCTTAAACATTTTCACCATTTTATTGCATACCGTGCACTAATAATACATTGCCCAAGCATGAGGATTTAGATTTAGAGCAGAAATAGGCATAACTTAAAAATACTAGATTCAATAATTTCCTACTGAAAGTTGAACCAAAATAGCCCAAGTTTGCCAACCTTTATCGAAATTCTATTTTTAATGCTTTCCATACATAATATTTTCTATTGAATGGGGCAGTTTCTGCTGAAAGATGATATCTAAAGATGCAAATGACAAGGAGACATAACACCATAAATAAATGAAGTAACTAACATTTTCCAGTAATAAGTTGGCGGCTAGTCATTAAAAGTGTATCTTTGCATGCTTTTAGAGAAGCGTTTGCAACTTGTGCAGCACAATTTATCTCCTCCTCTCTATCTTTTTCCGTTTTCATAGCAAGTTTATCTACTGAAACCTGCCCCAAATTTAAAAAAAGAAAAGTAAGAATATATATGATGCACTTTAACACAACCAACAGCATATTATAGCTCATTAATTAAATGAAGTTTTGTATTGAATCATTAACTAAACTTTAACAGCATGTAGACAGTTTAAATAACATTATCAAGTAGTTCCTTGACTTGGGTCGATATGGAATTACCTCTACACATTTAAGCTTGATACCCAGCCGTGATTTAAGCTCTTCAACCTATAAGCACAACAATCATTTTCTTTAAAGCAGAAATGGATGGTTGAAGGAAAATTATATCCAATAAAAATAGCAAATTGAAAGTTGTACCTGTTTCGTAGTTTTTGGTACATACGAACCCACAACTATAAGCCCTCCACTTTTTTTACCAGAAATTCCAAGATCACTGGGACATATTGGAGGCCTTGACTTTATCCCAATTCGGGCAGAAACAAAGCTTGCTGCAGTACGACATAAAAATCTTTTCCCTTTATTCTCTGCCTGTTTATAGCCACATTATGAGAAAGGGAAACTTAGGCCATGCATGAAAACTATTTGTAAAGATGCGGAATTCATTAAAATGCAAAAAATCTTGCCTTGATCATTCCTGCTGCAAATACAGCCATGTCTCTTTCACTTGCAGCATTTACAATACATGTAGAACCCTAGTAACAGTAGGAAAAGAAAATATAAAAGCCAGATCAGTGTATATAGAGAATAATGTATGGTTTTACAAAATAAATTAACAATATTATAATTAATTCAAGGTTTCATGCAGCCTAATATTTGATTCACTATGTGCTTAACATAAATGCTCATCCAAGCATAATAATGTGCTAAAAACTAACTTATAATTATGAGAAATACTTTTGATGTGTATAATATAGCACAACAAAATCTTAAAATATGGTATAAAAAACATTTTTCATATTTTTTAATGCAAAATACCAAAATAAAATCTTTACCAAATAGATTGTTTAAAATAAAGCACCCACAAGACTAAAAAGTTATGATTCAAGTTCAAAACATAAAAACTTAAGTTTAGCTTTTTTTAGTATAAGGTTAATATAATATTCACTGCAATTTATTTCATTATTTTCATTAGCTATACTCTCTTCCAATTATTAGGTTTGTAGCCCTGCATTTCATATTATGGTTGTACATGTTTTAAAAATAATAATAATAAAATTGCACCATAAATGTGAGCACTAAAGTGTTCTAGAGCTTCTTCCCAAAATTGGGTCATCCATCACAAGCTGAACACCCAAACTTCTCTCTCTCCAGCTATTATCTCTGGCCTGATCGCACAACTCACCTCACAATCCCCTCACACCTCCACCCACAGCAACACACGAAGCCTTGCCCCCACCCCAACCTTGCCTCTTCTCCATAGCTCATCATTCTCAGTCAACACTAAATTCAAGTTGCTCAATCGACTCCAGTGCCAACCCAACGACCACGAACCTCTCGTCTCCCTCACCATCCCCCGCATTGTCCTAACTTCCCTCTTAGCTTGCCTCACCTAACGACCAGGAACCTCTCATCTCCCTAGCCATCCCCTACCAACACCACACTCAAGCCACCTACATCACCCCAATCAATGTCAGCCAGCTCCCCAAACTACCAACAACCATCTAGCTTCACTCTCTTTCCCTCACTCTCTTGCCTCATTTTTCTCTCTCTAACTCTTTCTTTTCATTTATCTCTCTATCTTAACACTCTCTTCCTCTCCTACCTTTCCCCCTTTAAACAGAGGAAACTCACCCTTTCTCTCTATCTATACTCCTATCTCACTATTCTCTCTATCTCTCTCTAAATAGAGAGAGATCCCTCACTTGCTCTCTACCATGGTTTAAAATTGTGCAATATGAGGCTCGCCTTTGCGTAATTTCAGTAAAAAAACGCCTCGATGCTTACGCCTCGAGTTTTTTTTTTATGAGACTTGCGCCTCAACTTGGTTGAGGCCCGCATTGAGGCCCGCCTCGCCTCACGGGCATGAGGCTTACGCCTCACGCTATATATATATTAAAACTTACATAAATCTTGAAGTAAATGCCCGACATTGGACTATATAGGAGAGGAGGAAGGGGAGAGCAGTTCACCATAATAATGATTTAAATGAAGAACCACTTAGAGATGACAGTGCTGATGACTTATGAGTTCTTATGTGATATGTCATTGCTATTTATTATTGGAAATCGGAATTATGTGTTAATGAAAAGAATACTAGGATTCAGAAAGATAGAATTTTGAGTTGAACTATATTTCATGTTGTCTTATTATTGAGATATTTTGATTTCACTTAATATCTTATGCTTTTTTATGTTTTATATTATTTACTCATTAGTATATAACAAATTTATCATTTTATATTTATGCAATCTTTTGATTTTGAGGCTTACGCCTCAAAACACCTTGAGGCTTACGCCTCGCCTCACGAATGAAAAACGCCTCAATACCCGAATACACAATTTTAAACATTGCTCTCTACCAACTCATTTACTCGCTACCTCCAATTCTTTCTCTTTCTCTCATTGTCTCTCTCGACTTCTAAGTCTCTCTCTTTCTCTTTCTCTTTCTCTCTCTCTATGCAATATATAAAAAAAAGAGAAAGTAGAAAACAGGAAAAAGAAGAAAAAGCGGAAAAAAGAGAAATTTCAAAAAAAAAAAAAAGTCTCAATTCGAAGAAATTTCTTGCTTTCATCATCTTGCCTCATCATTGGCGCTATGCATATGGTTATAATACAAACCTTCAAAATTAAATACCCATATGGATTATTCCATGCAACGTTTAAAATTGCGCAATAAAAGGCGCGCCTCAGCGCATTTTCGACCAATTAAGCCTCAAAGCCTACGCAATAAGTTTAGTTTATGAGGCTTACGCCTCAAGTTTACTGAGGCGCGCCTCGCCTCATATATTTAAGGCGTCGCCTTTTTAAAATTTAACCTAATTTATTTTTTTTTCAGTTCGGACCCCCAGTTGCCGACGTGGCGCGCCTATTGAAATGTCGACGTGGCATCAACATTTAAACCCTTGTAAAGGTCGAATGTCGGAGTCGACGTTTCGATTTTCAAGTTACAGTAAACTTTCGAACTTTCAAGCATTCACCCGGAGGAATTTCAAGCATTCTTCACTCAGTTTCTTCTAAGATGGCGTCACCCCCAAAGAAAAAGGTAACTTAATGCTATGTTTTCTGTTTCGTATTGCGTATTTTGTGGTTATGCTATGCGTTCGCGTTGAAGGGTCTGAAGATCTTCCGATTTTATGCTTATTCTATGCGTATGCATGGCTTCTCGAAACTTTTTAAATGTTTGATACTGTGATGCCATCGTGTTTTCTCTGTATTCAGGTTTATATGATAAATTTATGTTGAGATTTGAAACATAAAACCTAACCAAATTTTAACCATCGAGTAAATATGCGTAGGCTGTGCGTACTCAATGCGTCTGTTGTGCGTACACATTGCGTACACGTTGCTTACTTAGTGCTTACACTATGCGTACTTTATGCGTGCGTATAATTTGCTGTATGTTTCCTGCAATGTGCGTGTGATGTGCGTAATATATGCGTATGTTATGCAT